ACAAACGTTAATATTTTACTAAACATCTCAATATCCGCTCAAAACACTACTCACAACTAACTACAGAAATGGGTTAACAAGAAAAAAATGAAAAGCAATAAAGTGGTAATGCAAAGAATGACACGAACAGCCTTAGAAACCAGGTGTTAGACGGTGCCAGTTGGCAGTGTGTGTTAGAGAGGACTCTCATCTACTACCACGTGTACCTTAATATCCATAAAATCAGCCTAGGTGTGGCCTCTTCTGCATTTGCTAATATCAGACAGCAGCAAACTTGAATTAAGTCAAATCTAAAAATTGGTCGGTAAATGGTCATAGTATGGTCATTTTTGAGAATTACACAAGAATCCATCCAAGAGGTCATGAGATTTCTAGCTAAGAGCCACACAGCTCCCCCAGACAGGCGTTACATTATTAGCGACATTATCAATAAAACAGGTAATTTATTGACTGTTGGAAAAACCTTTCATTATAGCTCTGCTTGAGAATCTTCTACTGTTTCAAATGGGGCGGTAGCTTAAAATAGCCCAAGTTATTTAATGAAATTTAGAGATATGACAGAGCGTCTGCCCTGCTGGAGTGTCCTTGCTGTTAACGACGCTCTGACCTTCTCTAAACCGCTTCAGCGATCAATAATTTCACTTTAACATTTAAAAAGACATCAGCTGATGAAAAGTCTCTTTTGGACTTGGATGGTTTCCTCCAAATTCCTTTATCTCTGTTTCAATAAATACCTCCAGTTGACGTCTTTTTTGTGATTTACTTATGTTTAATTATTAATACCATTTCCACGTTTTCCTAAAACTCTCAATCAAACATGTAGAAACGAGGTGCTCTCAGAAGAATGGCACACTCTTTTGTCCTTCGATGAGACTGATGTGAGCTAGCTCTTGAAAGAAATGCAGAGTGTGTTTTGGTTGTCAAGGTGCTGCTTCAGTTCTTTTGCTCTGTGGGAGTCCCCTTGGTGATGAATAAGGTGTCAGATGGAGCAAACATGAGAACAAACCTTTAGGGAGTTAGAATAAAAGCTCACTGACAAAAAGCATCAGGATTCAGATAGGCTGAACTTTTAACCACTCTGAGTCTTCTGGGGTCTACAGCTGACTGTTTCACAAAGCTCTCAGTCTCTCCATCTCTCATGTCTGTATCTGTAGCTGTTCTCCCTCCCTGAGTGTTAGCTAGCTGCAGCAGAGGATGTCCATGTGACAAAAAAGGCACAAGGGCTGGTGGTGAACTGTGTGTGAGATGTGCACAGAGACACATGTAGAGCATCTCCACTGCAGACACAACAGTGACATCAATAAGTCTCTTTTGCTCTAATGTTGCTCATTATGGGGTCAGAGGTCATGCAGACCTTGTGTGTGCAATAACAAATTGTGCTAAAGCAAAGGAAAAAAGGCAGCTGGCTTTACTTCAGATCTGAATCTGCAGGGATTAGAGAAGCCTGTGGTATAAAACATCTTCTCAGAGTTGGATGTAGTAGATGCTCACGTCACAGCACTATCGCTTCTGAGTCAATGAGCTGCTGCTGCCGCCACGAACAACAGGGAGCTTTGACTGGTTATGAGTGGCAGGAATGTGTGCAGATCCATATCGGTTCTCATTAGCATGTCTGTGTGACCGAAGTCACACTGTGGAGCTTTTGTTGAAATCATACATGAAGAACAACAAATATTTCTATTCATTTGAAATTATTCTCAACTTAAAATATCAACTTAGACAAAAAACAGGCAAAGCATCTCCATCTACTTCTGTTTCTTCTGAAGTGAATCTAAATACCTCCATTTACTGGTGATGCCAGTTGTGTCTGAAATGTTTACTGACTCACTAGGTAGTGGACAATTTCATGAGTCATGTTTATAAATGGGACTTAAAACCGGTCTTAAAAATACTGCAACCAGCCACTAGAAAGACCTTGTTTACTTTTGGCTTGAACAAGACAGTTAAGTGCTGCAGAAGTATTTTCTACGACTTTATATAACCTTGAATTAGTTTATTTGAAGCCTAAGACGACATACTAAATCATAAATTGTATAATATAATCCCACACCAGTAAGTTTTAAACTGACCGTTAAAAGAACTGATCTGGATGATTCTAACCCTAACCCTAACCCTGTTAGCAGTAGATCTCCCTGCTGCATACTTAAAAACATAATCTTCATTATGAAGAACCAGAATTGCATACACTTTCATGCAGCTATTTTTTTCCACCCATCCATCTATCCATTTTCGTCCATTTATGTGGAGTCAGGTCGTGGGGGGAGCCGCCTAAACCGAGAGGCCCAGACTTCCCACTCGCCAGCTACTTGGGTCAGCTCCTCCAGGGGAATCCCAAGGCATTCCCTGGCCAGCCGAGAGACATAGTCCCTCCAACATGTCTTAGATCTTCCTTTAAGTCCCCTCCTGGTTGGATGTGCCCGGAAAACCTCGCCAGGGAGGCGTCCCGGAAGCATCCTAACGAGTCCCAGAGATACTCTTCCACTTGGGGCAGAACCTCATCCCTGACCTGGAGAAGGCATTCTACTATTTTCCGACTCAAGGCCATGGTTTCAGATTTAGAGGAGCTGATTCTTATTCCGGCTGTGAACAGATACAGCAAAAGCTGGAGATCACTGTCTGATGAAACCAACAGGACCACATCATCTGCAAAAAGCAGAGACCTGATCCATAGACCACCAAAATGAATCCCCTCAACATCTTGACTGCACCTAAAAATCCTGTCCTTAAAGGTTATGAACAGAATCTGTGACAAAGGGCAGCCTTGGTGTAGTCCAACTCTCACTGGGAAGGAGCCTGACTTACTGCAGGCAATGTGGGCCAAGCTCTGACACCAGCCATACAGGGGCCTAACAGCCTGTATCAGAGGGCCTGGTACCCCATACTCCCAAAGTACACCCTAAAGCGCCTCGAATGCCTTCTCCAAATCCACAAAAAAAAAAAAAAAACTTTTTAAATAGAGGGACCACCACCCCAGTCTGCCAGTCAAATGGAACTGTCCCTGATGTCCATCCAATATTGCAGAGCCCTATTATATCCAAAGCCTTAAGGAGCTCCGGGCAAATCTCATCCACCCCTGGAGCCTTGCCACTGAGTTTTTTGACCACCTCAGTGACCGCAGCCTCAGAGCTTGGAGAGTCCAACCCAAAGTCCCCAGACTCTGCTTCCTCACTGGAATACCTATAAGCTGCCTCTGGAGTCCCACAGGCCAAAAACACCCAATAGGACTCTTTCTTCAACTTGACAGCATCACTAACCATCAGTGTCCACCAGCGGGTACTAGGGTTGCCACCACGACAGGCATCAATGACCCTGTGGCCACAGCTCTGTTTGGCCACTTCAACAATGGAGGCGCGGAACAGGGTCCACTTGGACTCAATGTCTCCCGCTTCCCCGGGACGTGTTTGAAATTCTGTCGGAGGTGGGATTTGAAGCTCCTTCTGACAGGAGACTTTGCCAGACATTGCCAGTAGACCCTCACAATACATTTGGGCCTGCCAGGTCTGACCGGCATCCTCCCCCCACCATTGAAGCCAACTCACCACCAGGTAGTGGTCAGTTGACAGCTCCGCCCCTAAGGTATTCTGGTGCCAAGAGTACATATGGACACCTTTATACTTGAACATGATATTCAGTATGGTCAATCCATGATGAGCACAGAATCCAAAAGCAAAACACTGCTCAGATTCAGATGAGGGGTTCGTTCCTCCCAACTACATCTTTCCAGGTCTCACTGTTATTGCCCACATGGGTATTGAAGTCCTCCTGGAGAGTGCTCCTTCCAGTGACTCATAAAAGGGTGCATGGTCTGAACTGCAGTGTAGTCCATAAGCACAAACCACAGTCAGGTCCCGTCCCAACACACATAGGCAGAGGGAAGCTACCCTCTCAGTCACCGATGATAAACCCCAATCTACAGGCACCAAGATGGGGGGCAACTAGTATGCCCACTCCTGTTCGGCTCCTCTTGTTGGGAGCAATTCCAGAGTGGTAGATTGTCCAACCCTTCTCAAGGAAACTGGTTCCAGAGCCATGCGTTGAGGTGAGGCCAACTATATCTAGTTGAAACCTCTCAACCTCAACCTCTTAAAGTCCGCTTCTGTGGTCGAGGATCAGACCACCAAGGTCCCTGCCTTCGACTACCAACCATCACGCAATGCACCCAACCCCTTTGGCCTCTCCCATGACTGGTGAGCCCGTGGGAAGGGGGGACCCACCTTTCCTATTTGGGTTGTGCCAGGCAGGGCTCCATGGTTAAAACCACCAGGCACTCGCCCATGTGCCCCTGCTCCTGGCCTGGCTCCAGTGTGGTGAGGGAACACTGTTTCCATTGGTATTTGTCATCATAATGGGTCTCTGGGCTGCAATTTGTCATACTCTGTTTTGACTAAATGTGGTCTAGACGTGGTGCATCCATAGTGAAAAATGTGATACGTGGGAAGCTCATGATTATCACTGGAAACATGCCATGTTGTGGGAGATAATTTAGAAATTTCTGATACTTCTCAGTTTCAAAACTTTTAATTCCCACCACAAAGCCCCAATCCCCAATCAGATGTGAAGAAAGTCTCAGTTTGCAAAAAAGAGCTGATTACCAATAGCAAATGAAGCTTTAATGTTTTATATTTGTGTTTTTATGCAGTTTTTCATTAAGGCGTCTACATGTGACTGAAGTGTAACCAAAACACCTTTGTAGGTAACCTCAGGCCATTTTCAGCAGGGATTTTTTTGGTAACTGTTAAATTATATAAGATTTTAATAGCAGCTGATTTTTGCAGTCAAACTGTTGAGTATGATTCATCTGTCAAAGATAAGAGCGCTGGACCACAGATGTTCTGACAAAGTTGTGAAAACTGGAAGACATGTAACGGGTGGAGCAGCGTGTTGTAAGTGTGTACAACATGTTTGTAAATCTAGACAATCACACACATTTCCTCTCAGAGGCCTCAGTCATTAGGATCTAAAAGCTGTGTGTCCCTCTAACTTGCTCTATATCCAACCAGGTAATGACCTGTTTCTGGTGGCAGTCCACGAGTTGGGACATGCTCTGGGTTTGGAGCACTCCAGTAACCCCCTGGCTATCATGGCCCCCTTTTACCAATGGATGGAGACTGAAAATTTCCAGCTGCCTGATGATGACCGGCTAGGCATACAACAGATCTACGGTAGGTCTTTAATATGATTTTTTGGAGTTTTATCCATCAACGTCAATGCCTTTTTTCATCATGGCTGCACAAGCAGCAGCCTATTCAATTCAATTCAAGTTTATTTATGAAGTGCCAAATAAGGACAAGAGTCGTCTCAAGGCACTTCACAAAGTTAACATTCCAATACAGGCCAGTGCATTAAGCCAATCAGTAAAAAGTTTCCTATATTAGGAACCCAGTAGGTTGCATGTACATTTACAACAATCCTCATACTAAGCAAGCATGCAGCGACAGTGGAGAGGAAAACTCCCTTTTAACAGGAAGAAACCTCCAGAGAATCCTGGCTCAGTATAAGCAGCCATCCTCCACGACTCACTGGGGATGGAGAAGACAGAGCACACACACACACGCACACGCACACACACACACACACACACACACACACACACACACACACACACACACACACACACACACACACACACACACACACACACACACACACACACAAGTAATGTGTCTATAGTTATATTGTGATTTCTTAGTAAATATTCTATTTGGTGAGAGATAAACTTTATTGTATTTATCCTAGTGGATCTATAATTAAACGGGTAAACTAGTAGTAGCACATTCAACGTCAAGGAAAGTAAAAAGTTATTATCAGGAGAGGGAGAATGTTTAAGTGGTTAGCAGCAGTGTGCTAGTCGATGGCCCCCTCCATGAGGCCACCACAGCTCAGCAGAACATCGTTGTAGCTTCTTCTGGGGAGAAAAACACTTAGAGAGAAAATAAAGTTAACAGCTGAAATAGCAGGAAATAATACAGTTAAAGAGCAGACTGTAGAATAAAGCAGTAGAGTGTGAAAAGTGGTCAGTGTGTCCTCCAGCAGTCTAAGCCTATAGCAGCATAACTACAGAGATAACCCTGGATAATCTATCCTATTTAGATGGAGGCAGGGCAAGGGAGAGCCGTCTTTATTGACTGTACACTCCACCTCCCTCTACTCCCCCACTTGTCCAGATCTGGGCTAACATCAGAATTTAACCATAGGCCCTATCAAATAAAAATGTTATAAGCCGAGTCTTAAAAGTAGTGTTGCAGCAGCTCTCACTTCTTTTCTTCTCCTTTTATTCCTTCCTTGTCTTGTGTGACATGTTTTAAATGCCTTCAGGGTGCGCACATATTCTCTAAACAGCACGATCCACAGGAGTACTTTTGTGTCATTGGGCTCATTTTTTCATTGTTTATGGAACGCGCTGGGAAATTCCTCCAGCTCCATACAAGAATATACTGTATGCACCAGAGATCAGCTGTTAGCGCTGTGGACACCGTTTTTTATCGCTACGTAAGAGCCATTCTGCCTCCAGAATTATGGAGGAAACGAAGAGGCTGCAATGTGGGACGTAAGCTCCAGGAGAGGCAATGGAGATATACACCAAATTACCCTCTGTGATTATGGGAAATGTCTGTTCTCTCCCCAATAAAATTGACGAGCTTACGGCGCTGACCAGGCTGAAGCGGGACTACAGACAGTGTAGGTTGATGTTTTTTACGGAGACGTGGATGAATGAGCTAATAGGTGACTCTGAGGTTTCCCTGGAAGGATTTAAAGTCACGCGGGCCGACAGGAGCATGGAGTGGCTGTGTTCGTTAATGAGAGGTGGTGCAACTCGATGCATTTAACTCACTGTTAAACAACAGCTCTGCACAAAAGACATCGATTTACTGGCTTTTGGTCTCCTACCTTATTACATCCCGAGAGAGTTTTGACGTTAGAGTAATTAATGTCAGTGGCCTAGTGGTAGAGCGTCCGCCCTGAGACTGGGAGATCAGGGTTCGATTCCTGGTCGGGTCATACCAAAGACTTTGAAAAATGGGACCCAGTGCCTCCCTGCTTGACACTCAGCATTAAGGGGTTGGATTGGGGGGTTAAACCACCAAATGGTTCCCGAGCGCGGCTCGTCTGCAGCTCACCGCTCCCCCAGGGGATGGGTCAAATGCGAAGAACAAATATCGCACACACACACCTGTGTGTGTGACAACTAATGGGACTTTAACTTTAACTTTACATCCTTCCCTCAGCAGATGTGGCTACTGCATGTTAGCTGCTTCAAAGTTCAGTGGAGAAGCTGCAGACCACACATCCACATGTACTTCTGGTCTTCAGTGGGGGTTTTATTCATGCCTCACTCTCCCCCATTCTTCCCACTTTTACCCAATATGTGAAGTGCCACACCAGAGACAATGAGAAAAATTATCTGCTGTATGCTAATAAAATAAAGATAAAGAAACGCACACACTTCCAGCCCTCTGCCACTGCTTGGCCGGTTTGATCACAGTCTTATACATCTGATCCCTGAATGACAACCCAGGGTTAGAAGAGAGCCTCCATGGAAGAAGTCTGTGAAAGTGTGGTCTGAGGAAGCTAGATACTGAAGGATTGTTTCCAAACCACTGACTGGGGGACACTCTGCAGCATTCATGGAGAGGACCTTGAAAGCCTGACCCACTGTGTCACTGATTATGTAAACTTCTGTGTGGAGAACACTGTCCCAACATGGAGAGGGAGGTGTTTCTCCAATAATAAGTCCTGGCAGACCCCTGAGCTCAAATCCCCGCTGGACCATAAGAAGAAAGCTTTTAACGAGGAGCAGAGACGAGTCCAGAAGGAGCTTAAATATGAGATCAGATGAGCTAAAGACGTCTACAGTGTTATTGTTGACGTCTGTAGAAAGTTTTTTTATTCACTTTTTTAGTGCTTGAAGGTTACAATGATAGCCTACTGCCTATGTGTATGTACTTTTCTCTAAGTGTGTGTGCTGTTGTAATGAGTACATTTCCCCACTGTGGGATTAATAAAGTCTATTCTATTCTTGAAAAACTGTCCCTTTCATTTCACACTGTTCATGCAAATGATCATTTATACATGTTTACCACCTAGATGGACTGCTAGTACTATATTTAATTGCTTTACACATGTGAATAAACCAGCCGTTCCCTGTCTAAAGGAACCAATTCAATTAAATTCAATTCAGTTTATTTTTAGCACCAAAGCACAACAAGAGTTTTCTCAAGACACTTTACAAGTAAACATTCCAAATCCACCTACTCAGTGCCTTGAGTTCAGTTCATTATGCATGTTCGTTAAACATTTCCTACCTAAGAAAAGCCAGCAGATTGCATGGAGAAAAAACAGATAAACTAGTAGTAGCACATTCAATGTTAAAGAAAGTTAAAAGTTATTATCAGGAGAGAGAACGCTCAGTGGTGGGCAGTAGTGTTCCACCTGGGGCTGGGGCCCATTTCAAGGAAGGTGTCACAGCAGCAACACCAGACCTGGTGTAGCTTCTCTGGACAGAAAACCTGCAGACTCTATTGAATTTCTACAATGAACCAAAATTTAGATGGCTGATGTAACCCTTTAGGTGTTAGCTGGCTGAACTTGATTAGTACCAGTTTAACCAATCGTCACGTCTGTCTGTTCTCATGAAGGTCTCCCCCAAAGCGGCCCCACCGATGCTCTACCCACAGTGATCCCCCGCCGCCCTGAACCCAGGCCACCTCACCCGCCCCCACGACACCCAGACCGCCCCAGAACCACAGACAGACCAGACCACTATGGACCCAATATCTGTGAAGGCAACTTTGACACTGTTGCTATGCTGCGAGGAGAGATGTTTGTTTTCAAGGTGAGTGTTTATAAGTGAGGAAGTTGAGGGAACATCACACAAGATGGTTATTCAGACGTCGTCGGTCAGCTGTAATGACTAAATCGCTGGTGAGCAGTTAAAGGCAGAGTGCGTGCTCTGTGTCCTACCACATTCTTGTTTGTAAACAAGTGGATGTGTTGTTGTTTTTACATGAAACTGGACTGTTAAGGGGGCTCAGCCTCTGAACCCAGACAAAGCATTTAAAGTGCATTCAGCAGCAGTGAGCTATTAGCTGAGCTTTAAAGGAGCAGTCACAGAAAACAACTGATATTTAAACGGACTCTTGCTCTCAGCTGGGTCTGGTTGCTTTTAATGTTGTGCAAACAAGGCCTGTGGTTACTTGTCTTATACGTCTGCTGTGTGTGCTCAACAACATTTATTGATCGGTGATGGAAGAAGTAAACAGGAATTGACCTAGAACTGAGTTTACTGAAACCTCAACAGCACTTAGGAGGACTACTGTTCTTCCTGTGAGTTTCCACGTGTGCAGGACCTAGTGTTTGAATCAGGGGACAGTAATGAGGTCTGCAAAGGACATAGTTTCTCTGATTCCGATTTTACTGTTAGACGTTACAAATGTTCTCTTTGGAATGTAAAACTTCAGAACTTGATGCAAAGCACAGCGGGAACAGGCCAGAACTGTTGGTCCAAACTCACACATTAGACTGTCACTATCTCCTATCTAGGAGTGTGGGTGTGTTTGATGCTGGGCAGCTATTACTAGACCTGCTGACTGAACATGAGCTGCACACGGTCTAACTGTTCCATTTGTAGCTTTATCTGTTTCCTGGATTTCATCCAATCAGTTTATCTGGAGCACATTCATCTGTTCAGAATAAACACTTCCATGGGCATAGCTTCTTAAAGTACAAGTGACTCTAATGTATTATTAACTACTGCAATAGACAAATGTGTCTCTGGTCAGAAGTGTGTGTTTGGCAATCAGCTACAATGAATCAGGATCTTCAGTGTGTCCGATCAGCAAATAAAATTCACCATTAGAATATTGTCCCTAAAGAAATACTAAATATTATAAAGGGTTCCATACCAGTTCACTTTGGGCTGGAGTGTATACAGGGGAAACTGGGAAAATTAGAATCTGCTGCAAAAGTTCATTTATGTCAGTAAGTTAACCTAATAGGTCAAACTAATATACGAGATAGATTAGGACTGGGCATAAAATCGAACATTTATAGTTATCAAAGTTTCTGACTCTTATCAAGATAATTTTTGTCATGTCAATAAATTTGATAATAAAAAAATGAAAAGATGTGTTTAGGTTGGCAACGTTCATGTCCCTTTAAGAAGCAGTACCACCTTGAGTCACGAAAAAATGTGACTCCAATGTAGTATATGTGACAGCCCCCTCTAGTGGACAGCTTATGTTTCTGCACATATTTGTAGTTATTGTCCATTTATCGTTATTGAGCTGAAATCCTCAGTATATTGTGATATTGATTTTTGGCCATATTGTCCAGCCCTAAACCAGATATTTCAGCCTTTATTTGTTATAACTGTGATGAATATGGCTTACAGCTTGTGAAAACCCTACATTCAAAATCTCAGACGATTAGAATATTGTGAAAAATTTCAATATTCTAGACTCAAGGTGTCACACTGATCAGATGGACACGGTCAGAAACAACGCTCAGGTAGCCCGTGGCATTTAAACCATGCCCAACTGGCACTACGGGGCCAAAAGTGTGCCAAGAAAACATCCCCCACACCATGACACCACCACCACCACCAGCAGCCTGCACAGTGGTAACAAGGCATGATGGATCAATGTCCTCATTCTGTTTACGCCAAATTCTGGTTCTACCATTTGAATGTCTCAACAGAAATCAAGACTCATCAGACCAGGCAACATTTGAGCAGATTGTGAAATACTCAGACTGGCCCGTCTGGCACCAACAACCATGCCACGCTCTAAATTGCTTAAATCACCTTTCTTTCCCATTCTGACCTTCAGTTTGGAGTTCAGGAGATTGTCTTGACCAGGACCACACCCCTAAATGCATTGACCAGGCATGCTGTTTTTAATTGTAAAGTATAGAATTAGTTTTCAATGGCAAAGTCAAAACTAAATGAATAGAATCGTAACAAAACAGATATCCAAACTATTCGTTTTCTTTAGTTGTACACAATGTAATGAGGGTTTGTTTTTACCTTTGCCGACATGTTTCGACGTCACTGCCGTCTTTGTCAGGGTATCTGCCGGATGACGGGGGCGTCACTTTGTTTAATCTGCGGGCAGCAGAGGATGATATCGCCCTTTGCTGCCCGCGCCCTCTCCGCTGATCACAGTGTCCCTTGAATGGCCCAGTGTGTAGACTCCTTCATCCCAGTTCGTGGTCCTGATAAGAGAGGTGGAACCCTGAACATCAACACATACAGAACACCAATACACACAGACCAGTATTTATTATAAACATCTGAACATCCTACCATACATAAAACGTCAGTAATCAGAACACTTTACCACCAAGCAAACATAATAACAGAAGAAGAGGAACGCAGACCAGAGGACCAACACATACAAAACGCTTTAAAAACATGTGGATACCCAATATGGGCAATTAACAAAGTAAAGCAACAAGTAACAACAAAAAGAAAAGACGAACCAAAACAAAAAAACAGAAAACACTGAGCCAAAACCAGTAATAACCCTTCCATACATCAAAGACATAACAGAAAAGATTATAACAGCAATGAGAAAACACAACATAAACACACCAACAAAACCGTATATGAAAGTTAGGAAGAGACTAGTACACCCAAAAGACAAGACATCACCAGCGCAAAAATGTGGAGTCATACAAAGTCCCATGCAAACTCTGTAGCAGAACATACATAGGAGAAACTGGACGCCTACTCAACACACGAACAATTAAACATAGAAAGGAGTGTGAGAAGGAAATAAGTCGAAGACACACAAGAGCAGCAAACCAGGAAGCACAAAGCACAATAAAAATGTCAGCCCTAAGAGACCACTTTACAAGAGAAAATCATATACTTTTACTTAAAGTTTTCACAAATTTAAATATGATAAAAGTGGCATTCAATTTACCAACCAATGGCAGTGGGAGTCATGCAACTGTGCTTCAAGAAAGGACTTCTCCTTGCACAGACCAAAGGCCACATGCACATGCAACCCTCTTTTTATTGGACTTTGACATTTCTGAAGATGCTTTTATTCATTCCACACCAAAAAAAGAAATAAAGGGCACTGTGAGGTACAAATATATGGTTTGTTGCCTGAAGGCAACGGTATGCCATTACTGACATAAATGGAATTTTGCAACCTATACAGATTTTTTCTATTTCACCTGCAATCTAATTTTCAATTTACCGTGATGTGGACACATTTGTGAATTGATTTAAAAATGTTCAAAATTGTTAACTAATGATAAAACACCAAGGAATTTAATTAAGGCTCTTTCTTTCAGACTAAAACTAAATTTCTGCCCTAAAAATCATTTAAATATTCTATCTGTTCACCAAACCTGGATTTCTGTGACCCTCAGTGGAGTCTTGGCCTCAACATTCGACCCACCGTCCTAAAAGACAGCAACTCCAGGGTGAACCAGAAAATCAAAACCCAATGTCTCTCCTGATAAATTTATGAAAATAAACAAACAAGCCAGAGCTCACCACAAACATTGACCCCTAAAATAACATGAACACGAGAGCACCCCCATGGCTGGAGTTATCCATCCATCAGTGAGCTTAGTTGTTTACAAAACTATACAAATACTTCCAGCGGAGTTTTCCCACACATCGATAGCAGACTTAGACGTACTAGATGCTGCTACCAGATTGCTGTATTCTGTGGTTTTTAAACTTCCAGATGTCCAGAGAAAGAAAACCAGTAGTCCATTAACTTCTAGCATGTCCATGTAGACCTCCATATGACAAAGGACCACTAAAGAACACTGTATAGGAGAGAGGGCATGCTCTATCCTGACAGGTGGTGCTGCTGGCTTTTAGGATTTAGAATTCACCTTGACATCTATATTTTGTGCTGTTAAATTAAAATTAATCATGTACTGCAGTTGTTCGGCACTAATTTAGCTTATTTTATTAAATCACGTGTGTTTTAAGAATTAAAAACCACTTGAGATGAACGTGGGTCTTCCTAACTTACAACGTATAAAGAACAAGATAACTGAGTCAACAAGCAAAAAGGGCAAGTCCAAAGTCATGAAGCTCAGACAGCAAAACTAAAAACCAAGATAAATTAACCAAACAACAACAACAACAATGATACAACAACAATATTCAGAAAAAAAAATCCTGCTGTGAAAAATGTATCATTCATGCATTGCAAAATGAAGTAGCTGGTAGTACATTGGGTACTGTTGTGTTTAATCAATATATTTGCAGTCTTGGTTGCCTGGGAGATACATCATCAGGAACTGCCAAGGCATGTTCTATCGAGGCGTCTCTTCTCTGTTTGTTAGCCTTTGTTACACCAAGGATACACACCTGACCAACCAATAGTCAGATGTAGAAGAGATGGCATCCAACCAGAAATACGGATAAGGATCAAGCGCAAGAAATACTGTAAAAGGTCAAAACCAGAGGAGGAATGTGTTGTTGGAACAAAAAAGAAAACCTTTGTGGGCATGAACATCCCAGCTGCTGTTCATGAGACAAAAGAGAAAATAATCGTGTCTGGATGTGGACTGAAGGTGGAATTTTACAGCAGGTCTCATTATCAAAGCTTGACGCTTAGCCACGGCCACACCTTTCAACTTTTGAAAAAACCTGACAGTTGAATTTTTTCCCCTATGTCTTAAGAGTATATAGCAGAAGTGTGAAGGCGATTGGTGTAGCACAGGGATTCCCAAAGTGTGGTGCGGGTGCGCGAGCTGCCGCTAGGGGGTGCGCGAGGTGAAAAGTGTAATGGCTGCGGAGCTCAGAGAAGTCTGTCATATGTCACCATTAGCGTAGAAACTCATTTGTGGGTGGGCCTA